TCATCCCCTCCCTGCCCCCCCCCATGTTTCCCCACCATCAGGACTGGATTTTGGGGTGCCCAGGCCCTGCCCCCCCCATCCCACATTCCGAGGCCCTGGGACCACGCCGGGGTGGGTGGGGGGTGTGTGACACCCCCGTGTGTGACACCCCCGTGTGTGACACCCCCGTGTGTGACACCCCCGTGTCCCCCCCCCCAGGATGTTCGACGTGGGGGGGCAGCGCTCGGAGCGCAAGAAGTGGATCCACTGCTTCGAGGGCGTCACCTGCATCATCTTCTGCGGGGCCCTGAGCGCCTACGACATGGTGCTGGTGGAGGACGACGAAGTGGTGGGTGGGGGTGCCCTGGGGGGGCAGGATGGGGGGGCTCCGAGGGGGCTCGGAGGGGTGGGAACAGCCCCCTGTCCCGTGGGATCGTCAGCCCCCTTCCACAACCCCCCTTCTTGAGCCCATCATTGATCCTCCTCCCTGATCCCCCTCCCTGATCCTCCTCCACAACCCCCCTCTGTGATCCACCCACTTGATTTGCCTCATTGATCCCCCTCATTGATCCCCCTCCATGACCCCCCTCCCTGATCCCCCTCAATGATCCCTCCCATTGATCCCTTTCCACAACCCCCCTCCATGATCTCACTCTTTGATCCCCCTCCCTGACCCTGCTCCCTGTCCCCTCTCCCATGGAAGGCTGGGAAGTGCAGGAAGTGCGGGAAGTGCCAATTCCTGCCGGGTTGTTCCCAGGGCAGGTGTTGGGGCTTCCTCTGGATCCCAAATCCCAGGGTTTGTCCATGAGGAAACCCCCCGGGAAGCTCCCGAGCGGCTCCTGGTGTTCCCTGCTCCCAAGAGCCGTCGGAGAACCAAAACACCAGAACAGGGAAGGGCAGGAAGAGCCAGGAATGGGTGGGATGGAGGAAAATCCAGCCGGGAGGGGCCTCCCTGTGCCCCCGGGGGAGCAGAGAGGGGACAAGGGGCAGCGCTGGGAATGGTGGCACAGGGACATTATCCAAGGGTGTCCGCCCGGGATTCACCGGCAGAGCCCTGGGAGAGGGCAGAGATCTGGAGAGCAGGAATGTGGAACCCCTGGAACGGGGCATTCCTGGGGAGAAACGGGAGCCAAGGGGGGCAGATGAGGAGAGCGGGAGCTGCTCCAGCTCCTCCGGCTTCCTTGGGCATTCCCTGGGATCCAAACACCTCCGGGAGCTGGGGCAGGGTCGGGATCTGCCATCCTGGGGCATCTCCATGGCCGGGTGGGAGCTCAGCCACGCACAGGAGGGAGGATCCTTCCCACAGGAGCCCTGGGAGCTTTCCCAAGGAGGACGGGGCAGGATCTGGGCTCTGCACATGGAAAAGCTGCTACCCTGGGGAGCTGGAGGAGGGAAAACCATCCCTGTGAGCCCTGGAGAACCCCCCGAGGCCGGAGGATCCCCCTTTCCAGCAGGAAATCCCCTGGTCGTACGTGGCTCTGCCCAGCTGGATCCCCATCCCTGCGGGATGCCCCGGGATTGTCACACCCACACCCAGACTGGAGCTTTTCCTTTTCCCAGCTCCTTCCCGAAGCCGTGGGAGCCACAGCCCAGCAGGAGCATCCCTTGGATGAGGGGAACGGGGCTGAAGGGAATGAGCCCTTTCCCTGCAGGCCACGAGGTTTCCATGGATCACGTTCCCACCACCATCCCTCCTTTCCGACGATCCCAGGAGGGATCAGGGCATTGTCCTCCCCTGAGGATCCATCCGGGATTTCGGGTGGGCAGGAGGGACCGGGATGGCAGCAGCACCACCCACTGCCACGGGAAACAGGGAAAGGCTGGTTTTTTTGGGAATGGGGGGCTTGGAGGGGGTGTGAATCCCTGACAATTCCCTGCAGAACCGGATGCACGAGTCCCTGCACCTCTTCAACAGTATATGCAACCACAAGTTCTTCGCAGCCACCTCCATCATCCTCTTCCTCAACAAGAAGGACCTTTTCGAGGAGAAGATCAAGAAGGTCCATCTCAGCATCTGCTTCCCGGAGTACGATGGTGAGTCTGGAGCAATCCCAGCATTCCCACCCCCCTGGAGACCCCCCGGAGCAGGGGAGGGGGGGTCATGTGGGCCTGGAGGGGAGGGGATGGGATGGGATGGGGAAGGGGAGGGGAATAAGCAGAGTCAGTTCCATCCCAAAAATTAGGGCTGGGGAAGGGATCGGATGATCAGAGTTGGTTCCATCCCCAAAAAAGGGCCAGGGAAGGAGAAGAGGATGAGGATGAGCAGAGCTGGTTCCATCCCAAAAATTAGGGCTGGGGAAGGGATTGGACGATCGGAGTCGGTTCCATCCTGGGAAGGGCTGAGGAAGGGGAGGAGGATGAGGGGGAGGATGAGGATGAGCAGAACCATCTCCATCCCCCTCCCTGGAGTGCTGAGTCCGATCCCTGGAGGCTGGAGCGGAGGAGGGGAGCGCTGTGCCCTCGGGAGGGTGTTTGGAAGGCTGGACACCGGATAAATCCATGTTTGTCAAGTTTTCCCCAGGCGTGGTCACTCCCAGCCCTTCTCCAGAGCTCCTCCCACGGGAGTGGCTCCAGAACGTTCCCTCCCTCCCTGCACAGGCCCCAACACGTTCGAGGACGCCGGGAATTACATCAAGACCCAGTTCCTGGACCTGAACATGAGGAAGGACGTGAAGGAGATCTACAGCCACATGACCTGTGCCACAGACACCCAGAACGTCAAGTTCGTCTTCGACGCCGTCACGGACGTGATCATCAAAGAGAACCTCAAGGACTGCGGCCTCTTCTGAGCCCGGGAAGGTACAGGGGGAGTGGGGCTGGAAAACTGGGAATGGGGATGCCAGGAATGCCAGGAATCCCAGGAAAAGGGAGGGAAGGGGAGGGCGAAGAGCAGAGGAGGCTTGAGCCCATAAAGGGATTGGGGAAGAGGATGAGGATGAGCAGAGCCAGCTCGATCCCAGAGAAAGGGCTGGGGATGAGGGGGATCATCCCAAAAAAGGGCTGGGGAAGAGAGGAGAGGGATGAGGAGGAGGATGAGCAGAGCTGGGTCCGTCCCACAGGATCACGGACTCGTTTAGGGTGGAAAAGACCTCTGAGACCACCGAGTGCACCCTGAGCCTGTCCCCCCCCTTGACCCCCAGCCCAGAGCACTGAGGGCCATGTCCAGCCTTCCTTGGACACCTCCAGGGGTGGGGACTCCAAACCTCCCTGGGCAGCCCCTTCCAAGGCCTGACCACCCCTTCCAAGAAGAAATTCCTCCTGATGTCCAACCTGACCCTCCCCTGGCACAGCCTGAGGCCGTTCCCTCTCCTCCTGTCCCTTGTTCCCTGGAGCAGAGACCGACCCCCCCCCGGCTCCCCCCTCCTGTCAGGGGGTTGCAGAGCCAGAAGGTCCCCCCTGAGCCTCCTTTTCTCCAGGCTGAGCCCCCCCAGCTCCCTGAGTTCTCCTGCTGCTCCAGACCCTTCCCCAGCTCCGTTCCCTTTCCTGGACATGCTCCAGCCCCTCCATGTCCTTCCTGTCCTGGGGGTCCAGACCCGGGCCCAGCCCTGCAGGTGCCCCCACCCCAGTGCCCAATCCCTGCCCTGGTCCTGCTGCCACATCATTCCCAATCCAGGAATGCCAGGATGCCAAGAAGGGCCCCCTGGACTCACATCCGACCCCCAGGTCCCTTCCTGTCCCCTCCCTCTGTCCCCACCCCTGGAGCTCCAGGGAGTTGTTGTGGCCAAAGGGCAGGACCTGGAATGTGGAGTGGTGGAACCTCATCCCCTTGGATTCAGCCCATCCTCATCATCCCAGGGATGAAGGCCAAGGCAAAGGGTGGGATGTGGGATTCCCCATCCTCATCCCCACGGGGATGAACTCCCTGTTCTCTCTCCCTTTCCCAGGAAACATTCCCGTCTCTCCGTTCTGCTGAGCAGAGCCAAAGGAAGAACCACCCCCTCCACACGTCACCGCTCCCACTTTTTCTATGACCGCCCCAAATCCGCCTCTTTTCACCCCAAACTAGGAAGGGGCTGAACTCAACGTCCTGCTCCCTTTCGTGGCCATTTCCTCTTTTTTTTTTTTGTTTTTTTCCGAGGAAAACTCCCCTTCTCAGCATTCCACGGGAGGTTTGACACCAAGACACAGCCAGGAATAGGAATATTGAGGGAATTTGGGAGGCAGGGACGGGAATTCCCCCCTGGCCATCCCTCCACAGCCCATTCCTGCCCTTGGATCGGGGCTGGATTCATCCAAGCTGGAATTTCTGGGGGAGGAGGAAGCTGAGTTACCTCCGAGTGGCTCCTGGGAACCCACCCCAGCCCTTCCCGGGAATCGACCCTTTGGCGGGAGAAATCAGGGATTCCTGGGGTTCTCTGGGGCCCTGAATGGTGGGAATTCCTCGGGCAGGAAGGGCTGGGGGAGGGAACCCCAACTCCAGCCCGGGAATGGGAATGGGCTGGATAAAGAGGAAATGGTTGCTCGAAACATTTTTGTTCTGCTACTTTAGAGCTGCGTTCGCTCTCTCTGTTTGTAAATAATCCGTAGGTGATCCCTGGAAATCCCTGGATCCTCCTTTCCCTGCTCCCTGCACAGATCTCCCCTTCCAGCTTCACTTCGGTAGGAAAACACAATAAAGGAATGTGCATGGCCGGGGTGTCCTTCCTTCCCCGCTTCCCAGAGCTTGGATCCAGGGCCGCTTCCCGTCCTTTGCACCCATTCCCGGCTCTCTGGATCGCTTGGATCTCTGGATCCCACCTGGATCACCCTGGGGTTGGGAGCTGTGCTCCTGGATGGGGGGGGGAAGGGGGTCCCAAACCCAAAACATTCCTGGTCGGAGCACCTGGAAAGGGTTGAATGAGGAAGGAGGAGTTATCCCATGGAGGAAAGGCTCCAGGAAGGGAATTTGGGGGCAGACAGAGCTCCAGGGAGCTTGGGAAAAATTCCAGAGGAGGGAAACACTCCCCGGAGCTGCTGAGAGCTCCCACAAGGAATTTATCCTGGAATTCTAAGGAAGCGTCCCCAGAAAGGTGCCACCTCCATCCCACAGCAGCATCCAGGGCAGAATTCCCACCGGGATCTCAGCAGCCAGATTTGGGCTGTCAACAGGTAAATCCTCCTGCCAAGAATCCCACGGACAACGGGATTCCTGGAATGCTGCAGCACAGCCCAAGTCTTTGGCAGCAGCACGACCCCAGCAGTGGGGGTGGATGGAGCACAGGGAATCTCCCCATCCCAATGATTCCCATCCAAGCTCTTCCCTCCCTTCTCCGGCAAAGCACCAAAAACTGGGAGAGCTCCTGGAAAAAGGAAGAAGAAACCGGAGCAAAGGCTTCACTCACCATTTTAATGACTGCCAACAAATCCAACGGATCCGACTGGACACGGACAGAACCGGGAAGAGGGGCTGGATGCAGACAGGGATCAGCAGAGGAACGCACGGAGCGGGCAGGGAAATGTGGGATTTGGCACCACCCGGACAAAGGAAAGGCAGGCTCAGGAAAACCGGGGCTGGGAGGGCCTTGGGAAAGGCAGGACGGGATCATCCCCCCTCCCCATCCCCAAAAACTCCCAGGAATCCGTGGCTTGGGAGCTCGGGAGCCGCAGTTCCCCCCTCGGCTCCGGCCGGGAATGCCAAGCTGGGCATAACACTGGGAATAACCCCCCCTCCGAGCCCAACCCTCCTCCTCCTGCCCCAGGAGCCTTTCCCAACGCCGGGGGAGCGGGACGGGAATGAGTCACACCGGGAAAAGCTCCCGGGATCCTTCAGGAGCTGCAGGAGCAGGAACTCCTGGAATTCCTGCCGGGAGGGACGTTTCCCACAGGATCTCCATGTGCATAGTTGAGTGAGAGTTGTGGTTTTTTTTATTATTCTCTTTTTTTTTTATTATTTTAATTATTTTGAACCCAAGGCTGAGAGGAACAAAGGGGAGGGAAGGGACAGTTTCCTGCCTGGAATAAAAACACCCAAAATAACCTTAAAAATGGAATAATGGGGGTTGGTAACGAAGGAAGAGGGAGCTACAGAGCCAAGGGCTGGAATGAGGCTGGAATTCAGCTGGAATGAGGCTGGAATTGGGCTTGAACCAGGCTGGAATCCAAGGGCTGCAATCTGCTTGGAATTGGGCTGGAATTGGGTTGGAATCCAAGGGCTGAATTGGTTGGGAATGGTTGGGATGGTTGGAATCCCACTAGAATCAGGCTGGAATCCCACTGGAATCCTGCTGGAATCATGCTGGAATTGGGCTGGAATCCCGTTGGAATCCAAGGGCTGGAATCTGGTTGGAATCCCACTGGAGTCAGGTTGGAATCCCACTGGAATCCAGCTGGAATCCAAGGGTTGGAATCTATGTGGAATCTGGCCAGAATCAGGCTGCAATCTGTTTGGAATCTCACTGGAATCCCACTGGAATCCAAGGGCTGGAAGCTGGTTGGAATCCCACTGGAATCAGGCTGGAATCCAAGGGCTGGAATCAGGCTGGAGTCTGGCTGGAATCCCACTGGAATCAGGCTGGTATCTCACTGGAATCTCGCTGGAATCAGGCTGGAATTGGGCTGGAATCAGGCTGGAGTCTGGCTGGAATCCCACTGGAATCAGGCTGGAATCCCACTGGAATCCAAGGGCTGGAATCCCAGTGGAATCAGGCTGGAATTGGGCTGCAATCTGCTTGGAATCCCACTGGAATCCCGCTGGAATCCACGGAGATCTCTCCATCCAGCGACGCCGGGAGGCTCCACCTCCATTCCGTGATCTCCGCCCCCACTCCCAAACCCCCCATTCCCCAAATCCACGTCCCCTCCAACACGAGGTCCCCAGGAAGGAAGGTTGTTGTGCCGGAGCCTCCCGGCGTTCCCGCGGTTCCGCGGCCGTTCCGGGCACATTCCCGGTGCATTCCCGGGGCATTCCCGGGGCGCTCCCGGGGGTCCCTCAGTAGAGGCCGCACTCCTTGAGGTTGTTCTTGATGATGACGTCGGTGACGGCGTCAAAGACAAACTGCACGTTCTTGGTGTCGGTGGCGCAGGTGAAGTGGGTGTAGATCTCCTTCGTGTCCCGCCGCCGGTTCAGCTCCTCGAACTGGCTCTGGATGTAGGCGGCCGCCTCCTCGTACGTCTGGGAGCCTGGGAATGAGCCGCAAATCCCGGGATTTGGCACGGCGAGGGGAGGAGGGGGCGGGCAGAGCGCGGGGGGGTGGGGAGTGACGAGGGAACGGGGAGGGAGGTGGGGAGGGACTGAAAGGGAAGGAGGGATAAAGGGTGGGGTGGAGGGGTGGGTGGGAAGGGACCTTAAAATCATGGAACCGTGGAATGGTTTGGATTGGGAGGATCTTAAAGGAAAAGAAGGAAGAACCTTGGAATCACAGTTTGGGTTGGGAAGGATCTTAAAAGAAAAGAGGGAAGAAGCTTGGAATCATGGATTAAGCAAAAGAGGGACAAATGGTGGAATGGTTTGGGTTGGAAGGACTTTAAATCATGGAATCATGGAATGGTTTGGGTTGGGAGGATCTTAAAGGAAAAGATGGAAGAACCTTGGAATCACGGATTAAGCAAAAGAGGGACAAATCTTGGAATGGTTTGGGTTGGAACGACTTTAAATCATGGAATCATGGAATGGTTTGGGTTGGAAAGATAAAGGAAAAGAAGGACAAATTATGCAATCATGGATTAAAGCAAAAGAGGGACAATCATGGAATGGTTTTGGTTGGAAGGATCTTAAAGGAAAAGACGGAAGAACCTTGGAATCATGGATTAAGCAAAAGAGGGACAAATCTTGGAACGGTTTGGATTGGAAGGACTTTAAATCATGGAATCATGGAATGGTTTGGGTTGGAAAGATCTTAAAGGAAAAGAGGGACAATCATGGAATGGTTTGGGTTAGAAGGATCTTAAAGGAAAAGAAGGACAAATCATGGAATCGTGGAATGGTTTGGGTCAGAAGGGCCCAGAGCAGGACAAGGATCGGTCTCCCGGGCTCTAAACTGGAATTTCAATGGAATTCCCATCCTAGCAAGATGTGGGAAACGAGGAGCGACCTCGATCTGCTGGAGGGCAACCCTTGGGGTTCGGATCTGTGGGATGGACAAAGGCTGCTCCCAAAGCTCTCCCAAGGGAACCCTCCTGCATTCCGGGAGCCAGAGGGAAGGAACCAGGGGACAGGATGGGAGAGCCCATCCCGGCTCCGGGGGATGCCGGTACCTGGATACTCGGGGTAGCAGATGGTGAGGGGGCTCCGGCGGATCTTCTCCTCGAACAGATCCTTCTTGTTGAGGAAGAGGATGATGGAGGTGTCCGTGAACCACTTGTTGTTGCAGATGCTGTCGAAGAGCTTCATGCTCTCGTGCATCCGGTTCTGGAGCGGGACGGACACGGGAGGGATCAGGGAAGGGACACTGGAGTGTCACCTCCTTCCCAAGAGCCCCGGTCCCCCTGGAAGGAGCCCAGGCCACGGAAGGGGCTGTGGGGACACCCCCAGGCCCAGGAATGTTTGTCACTCCCAGGTGGATCCAGGGAGGAATTGGCCCCAATCCGGGGGGGGTCATGGGGTGGCTCCCGCGGGAAACTCCAGAGGGTTTTCCGTGCCCAGCAGAGCCAAGGGCAGCGGCTCCAGGACGGATCTGCCACCGGCCAAGGCGGAGCCCAGGGAAAGGGAGACACAGTGGGGCAATTCCAGAGGGACTGACCCATGGAAAGGGACCTGGATTGAGCCCATGGGAGGAGCTGGAGCAGTTCCTGAGGGACTGATCCCATGGAAAGGGACCTGGATTGAGCCCATGAAAAGGGATCCAGGTTGGAGCAGTTCCTGAGGGACTGATCCTATGGAAGGACCTGGAGCAGTTCCTGAGGGACTGACCCCGGGAAAGGAACCTGGATTGATCCCATGAAAAGGGATCCAGGTTGGAGCAGTTCCTGAGGGACTGACCCATGGGAAGGGGCCCACACCGGAGCAGTTGCCGCGGGCCATTCCAGGTGCTCTCAACTTCCCCGATCCTGTGCTCCCACAATCCCATGCTCCCATGCTCCCACAATCCCACGCTCCCACACTCCCACGCTCCCACAATCCCACGCTCCCACACTCCCACGCTCCCACACTCCCACGCTCCCACACTCCCACACTCCCATGCTCCCACGCTCCCGTACCATCTCCTCGTCCTCGGCCAGCACCAGGTCGTAGTCGCTGAGGGCCACGCAGAAGATGATGGCCGTGACGCCCTCGAAGCAGTGGATCCACTTCTTCCGCTCCGACCTCTGCCCGCCCACATCGAACATCCTGGGAAAGGCGGGAGAACCAGCTCAGCCCCCCCGCCCCTTGGGCATTCCCAGGGGGAATTCGGGGACAACGAGGCCCGGCTTCCCTCGGGAGAGGGGAGGGGAAATTCCCTTTGCAGCACAGGGGACGTGGAAGCAGAATTCCTGTTTTGTTCAACAGGACGCAGGGAATGGCTTCCCGCTGCCGGAGGGTTGGATGGGATATCGGGATATTGGGAAGGAGTCCTTCCCTGGGAGGGTGGGGAGGGGCTGGGATGGAATTCCCAGAGGATGCCCCATCCCTGGAAGTGTCCAAGGCCAGGCTGGAGCAGCCTGGGATAGTGGGAGGTGTCCCTGCCCATGGATGGGACTGAAGGTCCATTCCCACCCAAACCATCCTGGGATTCCAGGATTCTGGAGCCCCTCTGGAGCTCCAGATGGGAGCCAGAATGGGAGAGCTGGGAATGTTCCCCTGGAGAAGAGAAGGCTCCAGGGACACCTTGGAGCCCCTTCCAGGGCCTAAAGGGGTTCCAGGAGAGCTGGAGAGGGACTGGGGACAAGGGATGGAGGGACAGGACACAGGGAATGGCTTCCCACTGCCAGAGGGTTGGATGGGATATTGGGAAGGAATCCTTCCCCGGGAGGGTGGGGAGGGGCTGGGATGGAATTCCCAGAGGATGCCCCATCCCTGGAAGTGTCCAAGGCCAGGCTGGATAACCTTGGAGTGCCCTGGGACAGTGGGAGGTGTCCCTGCCCACAGCACTGGATGGGCTTTAATTCCTCTTCCACCCAAACCATTCCCGGGTCCTCTGGAGCAGTTCCAAGCTGGAATCACCCCCGGAGCTCCTGATCCCCCAGGGAATGTGGATTTTGTTCCCTCTCCTGTTTCCTCGGCAACAACCCCTTGGTTTGTCCAGGATCCCCAAAGCTCCTCCCAGGGATTGGAATGAGTGGGAATGTGGTCCCTGGGAGCTCCTGCCGGGAGCCAGGGCGGGATTCCCAGGATTAAGGAAGTGGCTCATGCCCGGAAATCCAACCTGAGCTTTCCAGGCTGGAGCTGCCCCAGGAATTCTGGTAGAAATGGAGTTAATTCCTCATTAAAAGACGAGTGTCCTGGGAGATTCCAACCCCCTGATCTCCCAGATATTCTGAGGAGAGCCCAGGCTGGAATGGGAATTAATTAATTCAGGTGAAAGCGTTGTTACGGAGTCCTGACGATGGATTTGTTCCATAGGGAGCTGCCCAGGGTGGGATCCCAGGATGCCAAGGCAGGTCCCACCTTCCCTGTCCCACAAACCCCCCGGGCCAGAGGGAAGGTGGGAATCTCAGAGATTCCAGGGGATTCTCCAGGATCCGTGATGGAGGAGAACTCGGCCCATCCGAATTCCAGCCCCTGGGCTCCCTCATTCATGGAATGTCAAGCAGAGTTCCGGGGTTTCCCATGGAAAACATTCCCTCTGGGACGTGCCTGGGGCCCTGCACATGATCCAGGGTGGGATTGGGAAGGAGCCTCTTCCCTCTCTTCCAAAGGAGGGCGGGAGGAGCCTCCAGCCCCGCGGGGTTTGGAAGCACCGGGAGTGGCAGCTGGAGATGCTCCTGCTGATCCATCCCCACGGGATTCCCTGGATGGAATCCAGGAGCGGCAGAGACCTCCGGAGATGGGAAGGATTTGGGCATCTCTGGGTGAAACTCCGAAGGCAAAACGCTGCTGTTCTCCCAAAAAACTGCGTGGAAGGTCCCTGCTCCAGGGGATCCAAGGACTGGAGCTGGGAATGTTCCTCTGGAGAAGAGAAGGCTCCAGGGACACCTTGGAGCCCCTTCCAGGGCCTAAAGGGGCTCCA